ATCCATACTAAGCTTACTGTATATCTGGATAGGAAATATATAATGCCACGGATATTACAGCACGTACATGTGCCAGTGAAGTCGCGGCGGCGGCATCTGCTCGGCCTCCTGTCTTCCGACCCGAGCACACCATCGCGTTCCAGCATCGTCGTCTACTTCCACGGCTTTCCCGACCTGTCCGTGCACCCAGATACGTCGGTAACTCCGGCGTTTGCCAGCCGCTTCCCGAGAAAGCTGAACGAGCTCCTGCCTCTTTCGTTTGACCTGCTCTGTGTCAACTTTTCAGGGCTCCCAGGCTCCGATCATGATGTACCCTACCGAAGCAAACTACTAAGCCATGAGGTGGACGATGCCGATGCTATCATTGCGTTCTGCGAGCACGAGTTACGGATGCGGCATGTTCACATAGTTGGCCTCTCCACGGGGGCGATCCTGGCGTCGCTTGTGCGGAATCATGTCGTGCACACTTCACTCCGGTCCATTTCTGTAGTCGCAGGCATCGCAGACACGACGGAAGGCGTGCACTTGGATTTCTCCATCGATCAACAAGCCCAAGCTCAAACCGACGGCTTCTGCCTCACTCCGTTCTACTGGCCACCCAATTGGCCACTCCCTCCTGACGCTGTCGACGTGGACAGTTCTACGGGAAAGCTTTGGCGCCCGCTAGATCATGGATACCTTGCGGACATGGTGGCATTGGATATTGGGGTGAGCGTTGGCCTAGGAAAAGTCCCATTCCTTGTCATCCACGGCGATCACGACAAGAGCATCCCGTGGCAGCAGGGAGAGGCTTTGTTCTCCGCTGCCGCCCACCCCAAGGAATGGCTCTTGATCAAGGGGGCGAACCACCTCTTGACGAATGCGAAGCATGTGAAGAAAGCTGTGGCCGAGATACAAGCGCACATGCTCGCGTCGGAAGCGGCGGCGGCATAACTCCATTTGATAGAATGGTCAACGTAGTCACGTTAGCATGAATTGCTGTGATAGATTGTTGTGTACTTTGCTGCCTGTGGATCGACTCATCAAGTCAATCGAAAAACATTAAGTTTCCGAGGTTTTGTTGATTGGCATTGTCCGGATAACAATCGAAACGTTGCGTCTTGAAATAAGCTTACCTTTACAAACCCAATATTGTACTGTGTTTATTCTAAACTGGAGC